CTACCTCCACCTCCAATGATGCTCTTTGATCCTGAAGATCCACCACTGGATCCTCCTCCCATGCCATAGCTGGATCCTCCACTGCAGTATCCAGAGGAACCTCCACTACCTCCACCTCCAATGATGATCTTTGATCCTGAGGACCCACCACTGGATCCTCCTCCCATGCCATAGCTGGATCCTCCACTGCAGTATCCAGAGGAACCTCCACTACCTCCACCTGCAATGATGATCTTTGATCCTGAGGACCCACCACTAGATCTTCCACTGCAGCATCCAGACGAGCCACCTCCTCCACCACCTGAGCTAATAATGATCTTCTGGCCTGATCCCCCACCACTGCTGCTGTATCCTCCTCCCATGCTGTAGCCTGAGGATCCCCCACTGCAGGATCCAGATGATCCTCCACCGCTTCCACCTCCAATGATGCTCTTTGATCCTGAAGACCCACCACTGGATCCTCCACTGCAGCATCCAGAAGAACCTCCACTACCTCCACCTCCAATGATGATCTTTGATCCTGAAGACCCACCGCTGGATCCCCCACTGCAGCATCCGGAATATCCTCCTCCTCCACCACCAGAACTGACAATGATCTTGCCAGAGCCCCCACTGCTCCCACCGTAGCTGCCTGAGCCTGAGCCCCCACAGCAGGAGAAATCCTGTGTCTGGTAGCTGGAGGAGCTGCTCCCGTGGCAGCAGGAGGACTGGGAAGATGTTTCATGGCAGCCTCCGGAGGATTGTCTGGAACACATCTTCGAGCAGTGACCCTACAAGAAACCACATACTTTTTACTCAAGAACAGCCACCTCCATCATGAGAATTTCCCCCCACCAGAAGGATCCGTGTACAGCTTCATGGCACTAGCAGACAGTCTCCAGAACCAATGAAGTTCCTTTCTTCTAAGCACTTTGTGCTCCATGGATCCCAGCCAAACGTAGAGCCCATTGCTAACAGGAGATTAGCAGATCGCTGGTTAATCAACCCATCATTTAAAGTCTTTTATCCCATAGCTGGTCCATCTCAATATCTATACTGATGAAACACCTGACTTTCAGTAGCACGGGATGATCCTGCTTCTGCTGACTTTCACAGGAGATTTAAATTCATCAAAGCAACCTTCCTGCCCTTCAAGCCACCACCCATCAGGTGTACTTTACCAATGCATTGATGTTTTGCAAGCATGAAAGTAAGAGAAGAATCGCTCCCTTTCGCAGAAGTGGACTTACCCTTCTTGGTTCCAACGACGTGTACAATGGAGCAAAGCTGAGCGAATGAAGCACTGCGAGAGAACAGCAGCCTTTATACCGTTCCTAGTTTTCCGAAGTGGGAAGTGAGGCATCCGAAGGAATGGTGATAGGTTTATTTACTAAACAAACTGTCCTCCTTCAGCCCACTTGTCCTGACTCATCGGATCAGATCAACGTCTCTTTAGTGCATCACTTCCTAGGCTACCTGTGGTTTGGATGCAGATAACACATGTGAACTCAGGTCCCGCAGCTGACTTTCAAGGTAGGGTAATGGGACTCCAGCTAGCACCCTCCACGTGAGCTGGGAGATGTTGCTGGGGTGGTGGCTGACAGCAGAAGGGGCCGTGGAGACTCGTGTTTATTGTGTGTTGCAGACTATGGAGAAGCCCAGGGCAACGGAGAGAGCTGCACTGTGTAGGACTGCTGTTGCTGGGGCAGCAAAGGGATCTCACGTGCCTGGACTTCCCCACTACACCAGCGAAATGTTGATCATGGTTTTTGTTTGAGTGCACCACTATGGACAGTCTGGAGTTCAGGCAGGCTTTACACTGCCTCTGGGAGGAGGCGTGATGCCTATTTTTGAAAGGAGTTGAAGTACTGCAGGCAGAGGGTACCAGATCCAGCACCCACCCTGTGTATCAACATCTTCATGGATATTAACCAAAAGGATGATTTCATCCCAGTTTGGGAGATGGCTCTGGCGTTTTGGAAGAAGCAAGAAGATCTGAGGATGCACTGTGCTCCTGTTGTCACCCTGAGAGCCTCTGAAACTTGGCTTCTGACTTTCTTGGTCCTGGACCATTTTTGGGTGCAGGGACTTTCAACAGCAACTATCCCACCTCCTTGAAGAGAGACCTGAAGCTTTCTGTTAGCACCATGCAGGCAACAGCAGTGTTGGACAGTACCCAGTCACCGGTATTTTAGAACCCTATGACTTTCCATAATAAAATCCCGGGTAACTCAGCTATTCCAGTGGCAGCACTGGCTGGAGGAGCTCATCGGGATGTGTTTTGAGAATGCTTGCATTCCTGGGGTACACAAGGGTGAGAGGACAGAGGGTAAAGGGACATGTAAATGTGAAGCTCTTTTACCCGTAAGAGGTGTAGGTCACTTTTGTCTCTTTTGGGACACTTCCAGGCATCTGTCATCTGCCACACATAGAATAGTTCAGGCAGAAAGGTTAATTTTCCTTTCCCTGCTAATTGCCAGAATTTACCACATCAAAGAAAGAATTTCCCATAGGGAAACTCCCTCTGAAGACTCATACCCAGAACGGTGTTTAGTTTCTGTGGGAACAAGGAGATCCCTGGTTACTCCAGGCTTAACACCTCAGCACTTCGAAGGGGCTTTCTGAAGTCCTGCAGCTGCCTCTGGTTCCACTAGAGGCTCAGAGCTGGAGTCAGGGTTGGAGAGACCCCACATTTCTCTTCCACAGCTGCTTGGTGCCGCTGTGAGCACCAAGAGCTCTTGCACCACGCATGTGCAAGGGCCTCAGCTTCACACGTGTAATCGTACCTTGTAATCCTTTGTACTAGAGTTTTTGCATCTTGCCTCTCTTAACCCATTTAAGACTTCCGGGGGCATTGCGTGACATTTTGATGAGATGCCATATCTGATGGGCAAACTTCAGGATCATGAGTAGCAACAGACATTGAAAGATGACCTAAGAATACTTAGTGAACCCAGCATCTCTTCTGTGGGTGAGTTTTCAATGCACTTGTGCTCTGGAGCTTTATTACAACACCATCTGCTCAGAATAAAAACATTATAATGGAAAGAATTCAAATGTCATAGTATAAAGCAAAATCCAACCACTCAAACACTGAAGCTCTCTAGAACTGCAAGTTTTATTGTCTTGTGCAAGCACTAGAGAATTGAGGCAGATAACAGATATAGGAAACAACTCCGGCTGGATGTTCTTGATACAAAACATCAGAGGTTCAGGTCAGCTGGAGAGATGAACAGTAAAATCCCAAGGTAGAGGAGAAAGGAATAACGCAAATATTCTTCAATTTAATAGAGAAAGAAATGTGAGGCATGTTTATTTCTGGGGCTTTCTTGATCAGAGATACACTTCTGCAGACACTACTTGTGTTTAGTCTGTGGTGGCCAGGAGATTGGTTGGGTCTGCTGTTGAATGGACAGACCTCCAGAACTGGACGAACTACCTCCGCCGCCGCCTCCTATGCTGCCACCTCCAATGCAGATGGGGCCTTGGCTGTGGTGGCTGGAACCACCTCCTCCACCACCACCACCACCACCCATGCAGATGGGACCTTGGCCCTGGTGGCCAGAACCACCTCCTCCTCCACCACCACCACCACCACCACCAATGCAGATGGGACCTTGTCCCTGGTGGCCAGAACCACCTCCACCTCCACCACCACCGCTTCCTCCACCAATAATGCAGATGGGACCTTGGCTTTGATGACATGAACTGCCACCTCCTCCCCCCCCCCCTCCACCCCCAACC